CTGCTGAACCCCACTAGATTCTGCTGATCTTGGATCCCTTGCCGGATCTCACTTAAAGTCAGTGCCTCTCAAGGCCCACTAAGCCTTATGGGCTAGATGCGTAGCTCCAAAACTGCCCCTTTACCATACCCCATGGCTCACAGATTGTATTTAACCCTTGTCTCTTTTGATGAGGCTGCAGTCTATCTCAGTCTTCCGTTGTCACTGGGCCCTTGGTCCCTGTAGCGGTGCCCTCTGGTGCTGGGGTCTCTCCGCTCCCTGTAGTGGCACTCTCACTGGCACTGGGGTCACGTCAGCCCTAAGGAGGCCTCATCCCCCCCCCCCCCCAAATAGCCTCATCCCAGTCCACCAGATTCAAACAACAGCATAAATACAAGCCCCTGGGCTATAACATAACAACAATAACATTGGAGGCCACACACTGCCCCTTTAAGGAGGCATGCTTCTTTCTCAACAATGTGTGCCTCCTAGTCCCAGACACTTTAGGAGCTCCTAGAGCCCATTAGTCTTACCAGCAGCAGAATAGGCAACAAAGCGTCTTTGAGTAGCATTTATGCAAGAGCTCCTTACCCCTGGCTGCTGACAGAGAACTAACCCCCTGCCAGCCCCAGCCCTGGGGCTTATATGTGCCCAGATCCCTGTTTCCTTCTGGTCAGCTGACCGGGTGCAGGTGCCAGCTAATACCCTGATAAACTTTAAAAATAAAGTTGATTGTTATTCACTGGTGAGTAAATGTAGTTGTAGTACTTTCATTTAAAGCTATTTTACAAGAAAATATGGCCCTTAGGTAAGGAGTGGCATGAAATTATGTTTAGTTTAGTCACAATTCCTTATCAGGTCCTCACTTTTAGATGGAAAGCAGAGGGAAATAACTTGTAGCCTTGTGCCTTGTGGCTTGCATTTGCCAGTTCCATCATCTTATCTCTGTTGGCTGGGGATGGAAGCCATGCTTCCGCTTACAACTTTCTACAAAAGAGGAAGAAGAAGAAAGGGGGTAGTACTAAGCAGTCAGGCAGTGTGGTCTGTCTTCCTCACCCAGCATGTCTGGACTAATGAGAGGGGTAACTAAACAATGGGGTAGTGGTGGATGGGTCAGTTTCAGGGCTTGTGTATATAGGCCAATTGATCAACAGAATTGTTTTTTCTGATCTGTTTCCGAGGGAAGGAAGTATAGATATTCTGATTGTAAAATAAGAAAAACTGGCAGGGGAGCTGGAAGACAGACTTTTAAAGTTATTTCTTGAACTTTTTCTTTTATTTACAAAGTTCATGGAAAACTTTTAACAGAGTTGTTTTGTTGGTTTTTTTTTTTGTGAAACTGTCTTTTTATTTGTTTCCAGGAAATGGCTCTTGAAGTTAAATGAGGCTGGATAAAACACATAAATGAAACAAAGACTGCTCTACATGTGTTAGGGCTAAAAACACCAGAAGCATTGCTGATCAGCCAGTCCTGGTAACTTGTCATAATGAAGAAAATTAGTCTCAAAACAATTCGCAAGTCCTTTAACTTAAATAAAAGCAAAGATGAAAGTGACTTTGTAGTGGTCCAGCAGCCGTCATTAAGTGAATTTGGAAAAGATGACTCCTTGTTTGGCAGCTGTTATGGTAAAGATTTGGCTAGCTGTGAAGTCAACAGTGAAGATGAAAAAGGCAAAAATAGATCAAAAAGTGAAAGCTTAATGGGTACGTTAAAAAGGAGGCTTTCAGCAAAACAAAAGCAGAAAGGCAAAGGTAGCACGCCATCTGTAAGCTCTGCTGATGACGACACCTTTTCTTCCTCATCTGCTCCAATAACCTTCAAAGATGTGAGAGCTCAAAGACCTTTAAGATCCACATCCCTCCGTAACCACCATTATAGTCCAACTCCCTGGCCCCTACGGCCAACCAACTCGGAAGAAACTTGTATCAAAATGGAAGTGAAAGTTAAGGCCTTGGTCCACTCCTCTAATCCAAGCCCAGCACTGAATGGCGTTCGAAAGGACTTCCATGACTTACAGTCAGATAATGTGTTCCAAGAACAAAATAATGGATTAAAAAGTACAGAATCTCAGAATGGGGATTTACATCTTCACATTGATGAACATGTGCCTGTAGTTATTGGACTAATGCCTCAGGACTACATTCAGTATACTGTGCCTTTAGATGAGGGAATGTATCCTTTGGAAGGATCACGTAGTTACTGTCTGGATAGTTCCTCACCCATGGAAGTTTCTACTGTTTCTTCCCAAATGGGCGGAAACGCTTTTCATGAAGAGGAGAGTCAAGTGGATCAAGATGTGGTTGTTGCTCCAGATATTTTTGTGGACCAGGCAGTGAATGGCTTGTTGATTGGTACCACGGGAGTCATGTTGCAAAGTCCAAGAGTTAACCACAATGATGTCCCTCCACTCTCACCTTTGCTACCTCCGATGCAGAATAATCAAATCCAAAGGAACTTCAGTGGCCTGACTGGCACAGATGTCCACGTAGCTGAAAGTATGCGCTGCCATTTGAATTTTGATCCTAACTCTGCCCCTGGAGTTGGAAGAGTGTATGACTCTGTACAAAATAGTGGTCCTATGGTTGTGACAAGTCTCACAGAAGAATTGAAAAAACTTGCAAAACAAGGATGGTACTGGGGCCCTATCACACGTTGGGAGGCAGAGGGAAAATTGGCAAATGTGCCCGATGGTTCATTTCTGGTTCGAGATAGTTCTGATGACCGTTATCTTTTAAGCCTGAGTTTCCGATCCCATGGTAAAACTCTTCATACTAGAATTGAACATTCAAATGGTAGGTTTAGCTTTTATGAACAACCAGATGTGGAGGGACATACTTCTATAGTTGATCTAATTGAACATTCGATCAGGGACTCTGAAAATGGCGCATTTTGCTATTCAAGGTCTCGATTGCCTGGATCTGCAACTTACCCAGTGAGACTGACAAATCCAGTATCTCGATTTATGCAGGTTCGTTCCTTACAGTATCTGTGTCGTTTTGTTATACGTCAGTACACTCGAATAGACCTGATTCAGAAACTGCCTTTGCCAAACAAAATGAAGGATTATTTACAGGAGAAGCACTACTGAAAGCTTATGGGATATTTGCATCTTGCACTTTGGGAACAACAAAAAAATAAATAAAAAAGAGAGATTGAAATACAGTTTACAAACTTTCATAACTATCAAAATTTTTTGCTGCCATAACAATATTTCATTTTTGTGTGTAAAGAATAGTAATGCATTTGTTTTGTTTTTTTTCTTGTTTTGTTTTGTTTTCAGTTTTTTGGGGGGGACAGTTTTTGTTTTTGTTTTTGTTTTTAAGAATGGTCTCAAGGTTTTTAGAAGTGTGAAATTACTATCTTTCATAAATGTGCAGATTAATCACAATGTGAATGATCAAATTCTCCTTATTTTTCCTCAAGTCCTTTGCTGCTATCCACTGTGATTTTTATGCATTGAAAGCACATTTCATGTGTATTCAACCATAAGTAAAAAATCAAATGAAACTTGTAGAATGGAATTTGGTTTTTTTTTCCCCCCTTGAAATGGCCTATTGTATAAAGATAATTGTGGAAAAAACATACTACTATGCTAAATTACAGAATTTAGATATACATTTAAAATGATTTCCTGGCATCCTAACTAAAAATTTCTGTAGAAGTACCCTAATTTAGAACTTATTAATTGATAGAGCTGTTTGATGGAACACAGATACACAGCCTGTCTTTGGAAAATCCCTTTTGCCTAAATAACGTTATAATGTGTACACATTTCTGGTTATGAGGAGTTGTGTTTCATTTTCTTATAATTTTTTCTTATCCTTTTAAAAATGGCCTTTTAAAATAGTCTTTGACAATAGCTACATAATACAAATGTGGAAATTGTAATATTTGGATAAACATTGAGCATGAATCACTGATGGCATAATTAAAATAATTTATAGAAATGTTCCTAATTATAAGAGCTATGAAGTAATCTATGACATAGACATATGGTAAGACACCTAAAAGCCTCACCTTCTCGAAGATAATTTCTTCTCTACACCATACTTCAAAATGATAGGTTTTTTTAAACATTTTTTCTTTTTTTGGATTTCCACATTTCAGATTCAGTTGTACAGTTAATATTATTTTGGTTGTGTTTTTATGGGAGAAGGGACTTAAAATTTATACCTATCATTCACCATTTTTAAAATCTTCCAAACTGAAGAAAATGGGCTGTGTTTTAATATGCCATCATTAAGTGCTTCAGTTACTAAAAGTTTCAGAAGCTGTCATGAAAAGTATGTTTTGATGTATGGAATTTTAAATTTGTTGAGGAAATATTTCTAACTTCTGACGGGATACTGGGATTCAGAGCCTATAGTTAATCTGACCTTCTTATAAAGACTTCTGCATTTGAAGCATGGAGTCTAGATTGCAAATTTCTCTTTGTGCAATATTTATCCTTGGCATTTTCTTGGTTTTTCTCTCTGACTGTACTGCATTTGTGATTTCATTGTTAAAGGTGGCAATGGCTATTTTTTTTAAATGAATCAATACTATATTTTTAGCTTGTCACCTTCCCCATCAGCAGTTGGTATGAGTTGCTGTTCAATAAAAATCAACTTGGAAAAAGGTTGTTGCAGTTTTGATGATTTTTTTTGATGATTTCTTACTGTAGCTAGCTTTTTTGTCCCCTATAGTGAGTCCTTAGTATTGAATACAGTATTGCTGCACAGTGCTGCAATGGCACTAACTCATGGGTTGCCTGAATTGATACACTAAATTTATATTTTTTTCATTTATTTTTTAGACAGCAAAAAAGAAGAATGAAAGGCAGGGGAAGCTTGTCTGTTGCTTGGAGGGAGGGAGGATAAGGATTTCTTCTTTTGTCCAATATTTTTTTTAATTTAACAAAATATTGCCATAAAAAATCCTGAACAAAGTATATATGTTTAATTTGTTTGCTCTGCCACCCGAATTTATGCAAGCTTGAATCCTGATTATTCCCTACTGATTTTTTTCCCCCCTGAATCAGGACTACAAACCTTATTAAAAAGGCACAATAATCTATAGCATGGTACAGTGTTCTGACTTTACCCAGGGGGAGGAAAAAGGAAATAATTTTTTTACGGAATATGAAAAACCTATGTGTTAGGATGAAATCTCCAACACTTTCGTCGCTTTAAAAATTCTTTCCCCATGCAAACTAGACAGACTACATAATATAAAATCACTGGAATGCTTAGTACATTAGGACAAGGGTTAAATTTGCCCCAGCTTTTAACAAATTAAAGATGTATTTACAGAATGCTGTGTGCAGAAGTATTTAATGGACCTTGTGCAAGAATTTTTTAAATAGTGAAATTGATATTCAGAATTCATTACTATGTTAAGAAAATGTACATGAACTTGTGTGCTAAATTTCTTTCCCATTTCTTCATGTATTTTGGTATGTTTACATATAAAAGTTGATTATTTCAGAAATATTCATTTGGCTTATTTCACCCAATGGTTTTTAAATTATCTTCCTTGCCTTGTTGTGTTCTTTAATCCTGAACTTAATAGAAGGTCCAGTTCTTTTTGCCACTCTGCTTTCCATATAGTATTGACTAAAAGGATCTTGTCAAGTAGTTTCCACCTAAAAGGTGACCTACGTAGCATTTTTTTTTGTAAATCTGAAAATGATATTTTTTGAATCTGCTATACAGTAAAGGCCAATTTTTTTTTAAATATCTGCTCTACTGAGAATCACAGAATACTTTTGTGTTACTGAAGCAGCAGGAGAAGCACAAAAGAAAAAACCCTGTTTTGAAAATGCAGGTGGAGATACTTATAGTTGCCTATTATAGATATTACTGTGACAATCACGGTAACATTATTTAGTTATAAAATAATTTTAAAAGTGCGTAGGAGCAACTGGAAATAGGAAAAGTTGTGTTGGTTGTGCTTCATAAAAATGAAGGAACAAAATCTGTTTGCCAAATAGAAGAAAAGAAAAATAATGGATAACTTTTCTTCCCTCTGAATAGAAGATCAGTAATAAAGAATAAAAACTACTTGACCATGTCCTTTTAAAGTAAATCGGTGCTTATTTTACTCAGCACAACAGTCTGAGCATTTAAGAGGTGTGCACTTTTCACATATAAAGTGTTGTAAAATGTACTTGAAAACAAAAGTTTGAAATAAGACTGATTATTGATTTTGTGGTATTAACGGTAGATGTTATTGGTAACACTGGCTGCTTTGCCATTTGGGAAAATAAAAATCTACCTTGTATTTGGATGTTGTACATTAAATTACCAAGGTTTTCTTTGATTTGTAAAAGTGTTTCAGCCAAACAAATTGATTTATATTCTCTGATCCACTTGCACTTAACCTGCTATTGACATTAATGAAAATAATCTTTTTTTTATCAAGGTGAATTTCCATCATCAATAGGTTCTGTAATACGATTATTAATTTTAAAAGTTTTCAAATAAGTGTATTTCACATTTTGTTAAATACATTTCTAAATGAACTTTGACTGCTGGGCTAGGCAAAATATGTGCAGTTTTCTTACCACGCGTTTCATATGATATGAATACAGGAACTGTAAATTAAACCATAATACCAGCAACATATAGGTTATAATTCCAGTAAGGAATAGTCCTCATTTATCTAACTTTTAAATTCTAAGCTAAACTCTGGGTACAATAGTAATTGCCAGTTTTTTAAAATACTTTTTAAAGTTCTGCAAACAGTAAAACTTAAAGCATTCTTTATTAAAACATGAAATAGTTGATAGCTTATAATATGGCAAATATTATGGAATTTCCTGTATCTTGAAAGTTTCCAAATGCTACATGCAGTTGATGAAAAAATATTACTGAATTTTGTACTGAGTATATGTTGGGTTAAAGAATTTTTATAGTGGTGATGGAGTGCCATGAAATTAATATTTGCAATCCAGATTGCTGTAGTTTATACTTTTCTGTATGTTTCAAACCAGGTGTGCACTATTTGTGCAAAAGCACATCACAGAATGAATTATCCAAAGTCCATTGATTTTAATATGTGTTTTGGTTTGTAAACAAAATTATAGTAATTTCTTGCACATTTTTGAAAAATAATTGTATAAGGATTTATGTATCTGCTTCTAGATACAGTGTGTAAATAAAAATTTCATTCACAAAAGAATCCATGCAGTACTTGTTGACTTAATGAAACCCTGAAATATTTATTGACTTTTTTAGGGATTTTTTTTCTCTATCAATAGCTGACTATTTTTATATCTCATTGATTGATGTGATCAGACCATAGCGGCAATTTTTCCTGCTACTAATATTTTCTAATAAGTTATAGCTCTAGGTATCACGTTTGCTTTCTGAGGCAACTGGGAAAGCTGCCAATACATAATTAAAATAGGGTGTTTAAAATATGTTGGTATTCTGCTTCTAATATTTTCTTCTGAAAAAGGTAAACAAGAACAAAGAAGTCTTAATTTTAAAAGTATTTGAAACTCATGGGTTTTATGTGTTTTCTTTTTATTAAAAGTGAGAGCTTATCATTTTCAGGCAAGTCATCAATTAACTGTAATGTGGCTGGAAAATAGAAGTAGAACTATACCGTATTTCACAGTGTATAAGTCGAGGTTTGAAGCCCAATTTTGAACTTTTATAATTCAAACGTGATTACTACACTGTATCATTGTCCCCTAAGAGTGGAGCTGGGCTAGGCACTTGGCTGGCACAGCCCAGGCAGTGCCGCTCACAGGGGATGTGGCTGCACCAGCCAAGCACCAAATCTGGTGCTGTTTGCAGGGGACAGGGCTGAGCTCAGAGCTCGGCTGCTGTGGCCCAGGTAGAGCCGCTCTCAGGGGCTGGGGCTGGGATCGGTGCTTAGCTGCGTGGCCTCATTCCCTGTGAGCAGCACTGCCTGGGCTGTGCTAGCCGAGCACCGCATCACTTGCAGGAGATGGGGCTGCGCCAGCTGAGTGCCAAGCTTGGCCTTATCTGCTGCAACTTCAGCTGATACATCCTCATCCCCTGTGAGCAGCACTGCCTGGACCACACCAGCTGAGTGTCGACCTCAGTATCATTTGCAGGGGACAGGGCTGGGCTCAGCACTCAGCAGTACCACATGCAGAAGACAGGGCCAGGTTTGGCACTTGGTTGACATACTCCCATCTCCTGTGAGTGGTACTGGGCTTGGTGCTTAGCTGCCACAGCCCAAGCAATGCTGCTCGTAGGGGATGGGGCTGTGCCAGCAGAGCCCAGCCCCATCTCCTGGAAGCAGTGCTGTGGCATGTGTCCACCCCACCAGGTACCTGGCCCGCACTTAGGGCGTGTAGGGGCTGGTATAAGTTGACCCCATATTTCTGATCGAAAAAGTTAGGTTAACATACACTGGATCTACAAAATTCCTAACTCTTTGGATCTGAAAAATGGGGTTGACTTATATACTGTGTCAACGTATACACTATGAAATATGGTATATCTTTTATTTATTTGCTATTTTAAGTTTAAACATAAAATGAAAGAACACTTTAAATCAGAAGAATAATTAAACTGTTGAGAATAAGCAAATTATATTATAGATCTCTCTATAGCAGGGGCGGGCAAAATATGGCCCGTGGGCCAGATGTGGCCCACAAAGCACTTTCATGTGGTCCCCACCAACATGTTGGTGCCCACCAACAAATTATGCCCTGCCCACGAGGGTGGGAGCGAGTTGCCCACGTTTACATCCCCCCTCCCCCAAACATACCTATCGTGCCTTGCTCCCACCCTCATGGGTGGAAGGGCCGGGCCCAATCAGCACAGGTTCTGGGCAGGGCGGCTGCTGCTGCTGCCCCTGGGGACCTAAATGGCTTCCCTAGTCACCTGCTGGCTCCAGGAGGCAGCAGCTAGGGAAGTGGTGGGGGCAGGGCTGCAGCTGGGTGAAAGCGTGGAGTGGGGGCCTGGGGCTGGCAGCATTGCAAAGCTCATGCCCAGGGGGCAGCAGCAGCAAGGAGCTCAGCTGGGCAGGGTGTAGGTGGGAGGGAAGTTGGGGGACTCCCCCCACGGTGCATAGAGCTGGCAGGCAGTAGCAGTGGCAGCAACACTGGCTGAAGCCCTGCCCCACTGGGCACCAGCACAAGCGCCCTGAGGACCTTGCCTGCTGTTACACCATGGGGGGAGTACAAGGCTCCCCACATCCCCCCCCCCGCATCTTCCCTCTCACCGCACAAACCCAACACACCCATACCCTGCCCCCACAACCCTCCACATATACACAACCTCCCAACAAACCCTATGCCCCCCCACAGCCACACCGCCTACACACACACGTACCACACAAGACTGAATTTATTTTAGCGTTATTATGCACTTGCCTCTATAAACAGTATGCAAACACAAATCATGACGAAAATATTTTTTGTAATAAAATATGTTATAGCAGGTGTTTGACTTTTAGCATATGACTTGATTTTTTTCTGGTTCTAAGATGCTAATCCCCCTCTCCCAAAAGGAGTATTTCCAGGGGCAAAGGTCAGGGGTGGGACTTCAGATCCCAAGATAGCGACCAGGGTGTGGAGCAACTGTCAAGGGGCAGGGTTACCCCTGCGGCCCTCGACAGTTCACCAAAACTCTCTAAGTGGCCCTCCACCTGAAATAATTGCCTGCCCCTGGTCTGTATCTTCCATGCTCAAATTTTAAAACTCAGTTTTAATAGACATTTTAACTGCTTCTTCTGAGGTTTTGAAAATTCATAACGGCAGCTATTGGCCAGTGTCAGGTTTTGAACATAGAGTAGTTTTTTTAAAACTATCTTTCCCCTTTTTAAGGGGGCAATAAGATTACACCGTTAAATTTGTGCTTGAAGAATTGTTAAGGATTTGATATGTATTGAGAAATATAGGCTTTTATTTCCATCTGTTTAATGAAGAACCAGCTGCTGTGTTTGTTCACATGTGTCAAAGCTGCTAATAAAGATACCATGTGATGGTGGCTCTGGATCTAAGTACATAAAGTCCTAAAACTGCTTTCTTTTAAAAAAAGGTCCATAGTTACCTCTATTGAAGCACTTATACTGAGGCCAATGAATTTGCTTCCACCTGCACCAGTCTGGAGAGTTTATTCTCAGTTGTTTCAGCTGATAAACGTGGGAGTTCAGGTGCAGTTTGAGAATGTAAGGAGTCGTTTAAAAAATGAGTGAACAGGACTGGAAAGTTTCTAATGTAGATCCCAATCTCTTTATATAGCATCTGCCTCGCACATGGAAGAGTAAAAGAAGAAATGAAGGCTTATATTTATGTATGTGTTGCCATATATTTGCAACATAATGTTTGTACCAAAAGAATAAAGCTTTGGCACTGAATATTCCTCCTACAAATATGAAAGATTTCTTCACAGATTTCCCACTTGTGCAGCCCACTCTAAATTGCAAAATGTCTTACTTATTCTGATTCCTTTTTCTACCTTTTCTTGTTATATTTTCCAGCTAGCGCAGGTATTCTATTCTTCAATGTTTGAGTAGTCTTAGACCTTGATTCAGAAACTATTTAAACTGTATTTAGGATGAAGTTTATATGCTTAAATCCTATGGACAAAAATGGAGCAGCAGAAATAGAGCTCTGAAAGGAGAAAGCAGTCGTTTGCAGTCTTTTTTTGTTTGTTTGTTTGTTTGAGATGGGCTGACTCAAAACAGTAAGCGTTCTGAATCCCCACAATGGAGCCCGGAATTGCAACAAACCAGTAGCCTTGACTGAACCACGTGATGTTCTAATGCAGCCGGTGGGATGTTTGCTGCCATGAGTGTGGGAAAGCAATAAATACAACAGAAGAGGCAGTTTTGTTTGACTGAAGTCAGGAAGAAAATGCAAATGAGGCTTTTTCCGTTTGGCTCAGAGTTGTACAATTGCAATGTGGAGGGTATGTAGGAAATCAGCTTGTTTTTTTTGTAATTGTAGGGTGTAGATCAGTGTCACATTGCACCAAAAGCCAAAGGTATGGAGCAAAGAGAAGCAGGGGCTATGACGAAGATAGCGTAAGTTTGAGAGACTGTCCTGGATTCACGGGGCTCCACAGTCCACTTATTCTACCAATTTTCTTTGTTTTAAAAGCACAAAAGGAGGTGCTTTATGGAGGGAAGGAAAGTGGCAAAGGTTTCCTTTTGTTCAAATCTCACAAATGCAGGCTAACACTAAAAATCCTCACTTTTTTAACTGACTTAAGAATTATTGAGACAGGATCCTAGAGATTAGCCCTTGCAGAGTTCATGAATATGGTATCTCTGAGGGATGAGAATTGAGTTAATCTGTGGTAAGTGCTATAATTTTAAGTATCTTAAAATTTTAGGTATCTTTTGTGCTGAGAGGTATCAGTGGGAAAGAGGTGGGACTTTCTAATAAACCAAGGGCTCTCTTTTGATCATCACCTGCTGTGGTATTTAACTAAGATGAAGCTTCATTCCTGACCACAAATTTGATATTCTACTAACTTTTGATTTGCTTTTCTGATTGTATCTGTAGGCTGTGGTGCATGCTCTGTACATCATGCCTATTACTTTTAGAAAAGGCAGGGAAAGGCGCCTGACCCTGACCTCCTACAAATACAGCTATTCTTTCAGCTGCCATTCACTGTTGGAAACCTAATGCTATGGTGAGTTCCTGCAACTTGTCTATAATGTCTGTTTTGTCCATGTCTGCCTTGCCTCAGTTTCAATGTACTAGGTTCTGGGAGATGATGTAAAGAATTCAAGGAATGCAATTTTAGTTTGCCTCTAGCTCAATGGAGACCTTATTATAGAATACTGCAATCTAAATACCGACATAATGTGATACTGATTAAATTATTCCTTGTGGGACACTTTCCTCATGTTATACTTTAGCTAGGGTCTACTTTAAAAGTAGTAGCATACTTCAATCAGTAGATGCTGGGAATTTAACTGAGCCCTAGTATCTTCCAGCAACATCTTTTTTAATTTAATTTTTTTTCACTTAAGCATAGAAACTAAACTCCAAGATTGGAGTAAGACCATGATTACATGAGGTTGGAGTTGTTATATATTTACAAAATAAATTATATACAGCAATTCTTATGCATCAACTGTACAATAAATATAATGCTTATATATGTACATATAGCTAATTAATATTCAAACAGTCTGGTCAAGACACTGGCTTATTGGCTGGTGAATAAATATACATGTATTATACAGACACACTGATTGGAACTGCCTTCACCTCTTTACAATACTAGTAAATAATACATAAAGCATATCTAGATTGTGCCTGGTCTAAGTAATATGCTTTGGTGCGTCTACACAAGACACTTATTGTGGAGTAGACTTAATTAGCTCCACAGTAAATGTCTCGTGTCTACACACGCGGCCTTATTAGGTTGAAGTAAGTTAATTAACTGCAGTTAATGCAAGTATTATTCTGTCATGCAGTTTTGACTCTACAGCAGCACACATGTAGACACTGATGTATGTGGCTGGCCAGGGCACGAGGGTGCTTCAGTATGGGGGCTGCCTGCTGGTAACTCCACACTGAAGCACCCTCATGGCATAGCCTGCCCCCTGCAGCATATTGAGCCAGGTTGGAGCAGCCCTAGGCTGGCAGGCTGACCCCCACACCCCACTCTTGTCCTCTGTCAGCTGGGGCTGCTCTGACCTGGCTCAGTGTGCTGCAGTCCTGGGAGCATATGTAGATGTAGCACCTGGGAGCAATAAACTCCAGTGCAAGTAGTGCCAGACTGCATTGCTTTGCCTTAATAGCACATGTAGAGAAACCCCCTCAGTACTGTTTTGGTCCCTGTGCATTTTTATATATATTTTGATCTAAAATTATCTATATTTACTAAAGCCCCTGTTCCCCACCCCCACATAATTTATCCAGTTCAGTTTCCCTCCCCTTTGGGTTCCCAAACAATCCTAATGTTTATACCCTTTACTGTTTAGTGCTCCCCCATTCTCTTCCACTGTTATTGCTTACCCAAACCAATTTCCCTCCCTTTTGAATCCCCAAATGAGCCTTATTTTGGTACACTTCACCCTTTTCCTAAAATATGGAATTTAACCCCTCCACACCTAAATAATGAACTCCTTCCTGGTAGGTTCCTGACTTGCTCCGTAGGGGACTAACGGCACTCATAGTTCATCAAATACTGTTTTCTGGGGGAAATTTTGTAAAGCCATATTCAGGCCTCCTCCCAGTCTCTTTTCATATTACACTATATTTATAAGCCTCCCCCCACCCCTTGTACCTGCTTATAACCTTGGGGGCTAAGTACAGACAGTCAAAACACCTGAGGCTGAATTGATTCAAGCTAGGCAGCTTCCTGTAAGCTGCGTAGGTTGAACCAATAATCAACTGAACTGACATTCAGTTTTCAATCAAGAAAGGCAGGGGAACACCTACACTGACTCAGGCCAGTAGGCAAGGGGCGCTAGAGCACATCTCCCAGCCTGCTGGCCATTGCCAACCCAGCCAAGTGTCCCCAATCCCCTACTGTCCCCCCCACATGGGGTTAAGGAGACCCCTGTTCGGGTGCTGGCCCATCCTGGGTGAGCCTTCCACTCAGGGTTTCCCCCAGTTCAGGCAGCCCTGGGGAACTGAGGGGAATTCCCCACCCCACTTCCCTTTCCCAGCTGCTGATTTTTCCAGGGGCCCTGCGGTTTTGTCCCCGCCCCCCCCGAAAAGGGGGGGGGGGGGGGGGGAGCATTCTTCTAGGCCAGGTGTCTCCCATGCATCTCAGCATGGAGGTCCTGGGGAGGCTCTGCCTTGGAGAGCTTCCTCCTGCCCCAACCCAAGGTCCCTCAGCCCCAGGGAGCTGAGGGGTATTCTTCCCCTCCCTAACTCCAACTCCTTGCCTTAGCTGCTGCATCTCAGGGATAGCCCAGGGAGCAAAGGGAAATTCATCTGCTCCCCTGCATTAGTTTTGCCTCAGACTTGGAGCAGCTGAGGCAAAACCAGCTGCAAAGAAGCAGGATAATTTCTCTCCACTTGCTGAAGCTGCCTGAGACTCGCAGGGGCTGAGGCAAATGTGCAGGCTGGGAGCGGTCCGAGGCCCTCGGGGGCGCGCACCGCGGGCTGTGGCCAGCAGCCCTGGCACGCGGGTCGGGGAATGCAGGCCGGCAAGCTAGAATTAGGCACGGATGCGTAGCGGTTGATTAAAGATTATTTTACTTACACCGTAGATGGTCGCGGTGCAGGCAGGAAAACTTGCTTGAGTTGCAGTTACAGACAGGAAAGAAGAAAAGAGGACAAGAATTCCTTCCACGCGAACTCTAGCTCAATCCGGTTGAAGGCTCTAAAAACGCGAGCCTGTCGTGTCAACCGAAGAAAACAACTCGGAGAAGAGCTCTGGATACACTCACACAAAGTTTGCTAGGCTCCGTGGAACTTGCGCGCAGGGAAGGGGTTCGTCGAGGGATCGTTCGGCAATGGGGAGAGGCCAGAGGTTGATCAGACCCCTATAGCCTTCTTAAGGTACACGCTGGGTCCGTTAGGCTCCGCAGCGCTTAGAGTTCTTCATGAGACGTGAAGTCCTCCTCCTCCAGATGGTTGTGGAGTCCTCCCTTGCGGGGTTCTCCTCGGAGTTCTCCAACTTGGGCGGAAACCGCTCAAGCCTCTTATACGGCTAGCAAG